TGGATAAAAATGTAAATTAATGCTATTGGATAAAAATAAAAATAGAAAGATAAAAATAAAAATAAAAGAAAAAGTTTGAATGAACATTACTGCGCTAAAATATAACGTGATATAACTGATGAAAGGTAGAATGGTAACAATATATAACTAAGAAGAAAGGTTTTGGAATCAAATATGGGGATACCGATTCTTTATATCTCACCTGTCCAATTGAATGTTATAAAGAAAGTGATTTCGCTTATAATAATGGTAAAGGCACAATTTCAAAGTTGGAGTATTGGACCGAAATGGTTAATATTACCATGAAAGTAATGGAGAAATTACGTGATGATGTGAATACATATCTTAAAATAAAGAATAGATCAACCTATCTTAAAATGGCTTATGAAGAAGTCTTATTCCCAGTAGTATTTACAGATAAAAAGAAATATTTTGGAATATCACATAAAAAAGTTCCAAACTTTAACCCAAAAGAACTTTTCATTAAAGGTATCGATACAGTTAAGCAAGGTAAGTCGCAACTTTTTAGAACTATAGGAGATCGAATTATGTGGGGTGCGATGGGTATTAACAATAATCGAACTCTCCATGAGATTGTTGAAGAGGTTCTTAAAGAGGCTATAACCAATCCCAATCAATAGAATTTTGACCAGTTTATAGAAACTGATGCATGAAAACCTAATGTAGATAACAAACGTGTCCAACGATTTATAGGACGAATGAGAGAAAAATATGAAAGCAAGATTCCTGATCCCGGGGATCGCTTTAATTATGTAATGATTCACCCCGATAAAATCTTCAATTTATCTGGTTTTAAGCTCACAATAAGAAAGGCTGATCAAATGGAATTCGCAGATGTTGCAAAAAAATTAAATAAGAAATTGGATTTATCCTATTACTTCGAAAATACTATTAATGGACTTTGTGCCCGATTTATTATGTATGATAAAAAATATGAACCACCATCTACTGACAAAATCATGAAAATTACTGATTCAGATGAGAAATATAAACAGGTTGATACCTATGCTCAAAATAAGACCAAGAAGTGGCTCGAGTCATATATTAAGAAGATAAATGTGATAAATGGAAACGCTCCTAAAATAATATCTAATCGTGGGTATGCCTATAAACGTGCATACAAGGAAGCCCAAAAAAGGGGGAGAGAAATGTTATCTAAAAAGATAGGAAATATATACGAAGCTCTCCAAGGAGATTGTATTAATTACGAACACTTTATATGTGGTGATCCAATCTTCAGAATATGGGAGAATCTAGTAAAGTATATCGAAATAATAAAAAGAGGGGAATTAAAAATCAAGAAAGGTGTACATATAGAAATTTTGATTGGGTCAAATATTATGAATTCTATACGCTCTAATCTTGCGAAACATATCAATAGTATCACAAAAATTGCTATAAAATACAATCCATTCTTCTGTAAGTTGGTGTACCATATGAGATATAAAGAACATATAAAAATTCCAGATAAGATAGGATCCCTTAAAACAATGCGAAAAAAAGAGATGATTAGTGAGGAACTGATCTTACCTTATATATCAGAAGCTGATCGATTAATACTCGAAAGCTTCCAAAAAACGTGGGATGAATCAGTTAGCGAATTCTATACATCATGTGAAGTGAAGATATAACTCAAAGAGCATTTCCTATAATAAAAATCGATATATATATTAAGTCTTGAGATAATATATCCGAAGCAGACATTAATGAGATCATTGATCTATACTGAGATACTTATGTGTCTTTATTGCAAAGCAATGGGCTTCGCCCTAGACACTAGCTCCACTATAAATTATTAATAATATTTTTTTGTACATAAATAAATCCCAAGTTTAAATAGTTCCTAATACCTCATCCACGTATTCCATAGCCGATCACTTTTTTTATTGCGGAGCAGGCTGTATTGTGGAACAATGACACTTGCGTGTCTAGGCGATGAATCGGAGATTCGAGACTCTGTCTCTTCTTTGAATCCTGGCTCTTCAAGCCTACCTATATTCCATACGCGTCTTAATATTACAAACCACATAACTGCGATAATCAATAAAGTAAGAAAAATATATGCTGATAAAGATGACACCAAAGTGCTTGCCACAGGAATAGCTCCTATTCCTCCTATTGGAATCCGAGAATGTGATTCAATCAATGAAAACATGTTATTTTCTGGCTGTACAAGGTAAGGAGTCACATTCGGTATTTCTTGAGATTGGGGTATAATGTTCTCACTAATTTCGCTAATGCTAGTTTCATCACTTACCTTGGGGTTGATCTCGGTATCAACTTTTGATGGTTCAGTATTCTCATCATTAGCAGAGCAGTTATCAAAGATAACAGTTTGGATCGAGATATCATTATCAATTTTTCCAGCTTGGTCCATACTTTTTCTAGATATAAAATACTGTCTAAGACTTTTGCTAGGTTTACTAACTGTAGATATATCATTAGACTTGATCATATTTTTTCATCATCTCCACCAATGATGGATTTTGATATAACCTCCGATTTCAGATACTGAAGCTTATTGACTTTCGATTCCAATTTGCTCTTTATATTTTCTAATTCAGCGATTTTAGATTTGAGAGACGCAATCTCAGTTTCTTTTTTCGATGAGTCATTTTGAATCAAAATCACATCTTTCTGGGCCGAAGACAACTTACTTTCCAATATCTTGATCATAGACTCAAGTGATTTGATTTTCTTGGATTTTATATCATTCTCAGCTTTGGACTTCGCAAGAGAAATATCTTTATTAGCATTTTCAATCTGTAGATACCTAGCTTCATCAATGAGTTCGAGATCATGAGTACGTAATTTCTGGATCATAGTATTGGACCCACCCAGTTTCTGACTCCATTTTTTTCTCTTCTGTTCCCAACCTCTCCGTTCATGATCAAAATTTTTCTCTTGCTTTATATACCTGTCTTGTAATTTTTTATTACGAGAATTTAACCCGGATATAACTTTCACAATACGAGATTCTTTATCTTGTGCATTGACCATATATTTTGGCTAAACTATGTGTAATAAAAATAAGATAAATCATAAAATTTCTGATTATTAGAAAATGTCTAAAAGATTTCAGTTAAATAAAACATACCTTCCACCTGAAGTGATTTGTGAGATAATAAATAGTAGAGGTATGCAAAATGCAATATTGATTTTAACTAGAAAGTATCGCATATCACATACACGTATTTATGTTATATGGAAATTTGCGGATATGATAAATAATTAGTACAAATATTTATACATATTAAAAAATTTTTAAATATTCTGAAATATATACAAACATTTTGAAACATCTCGAAACTTTTCGAAACATTTCTTTATTTTTTAATAGCTATAAATAATAGAAATTTTCTGATATGGGTCGTATTCATAAAGAATATTATAGTGCTAATGCGAGATTTTTATCGGTTGAGGCAATCAAAGATATTAAAACATCACCCGGTAGAGTACCTGATGCTATAAATTCTATGGCAAAAAAATATCATATATCCTATGTTCGAGCTGAAGATTATATTGAAAATCGGGAGCGTAAACAACAAATGATATACTCTCATTCATCTCAACCATCTATACTTGTAAATGATTACTTGCCAAACACTGAAATCCCTGGACAAAATATAAATAATGATTTCCATCTCGATTCTCAATCGCAAGACACCAAAATAACTCTGCACAGCTCTGCTGATATTCCAGATAAACAGACGAAAAAGAGGTGATCAAAGTCTAAATCTGTGCGAATTTCTGATTCATCCACTAATAGTAATAGCCAACTTGAAAAGGTATTAAAGGAGGGAGATGAGCTAATAAAAAGTTCAGATCATATATTAAATAGTTACTTTGTGTCTATCTCCAGTAATTTTTAATTGGTTTTCCTTTTATTCATAGTTTCATAATTTGATTGTAAAAGTCTGTTACGAATATTAAGCTCAGTAATGATTTTGATAGCTCTCTTGCAATTTACGCATTTTTTTTTAATAATGAATCGTCAGAGGAATCAAAGATTTGATGCTCTGCATCATCTGAGCTGAAACCCGCAGGAGCATGCCATTCCTCCAATGAATCATTATCACTCTCATTACTATCTGCCTCTTGAGAAAGTTGATTGGATATCAAAGGCTTATTATTCTGAGACGCAGTAGCGCAATTTACTTCAAGTTTATTCTTGACCTTGTGCATGTTTACCGGAATAAAATACTCTTTACCATTACATACGAGTTTTAATTCTCGTTTCGACGCAAGTAAATCATAATCATATTTGTCTAAGAGAGTATTTGGTAAAATTAGTATCAGCTTGGGATATTTAACTACTGCAAAATCAGAATATATAGTGCAACCTCGGGCAAAATTTATTGGTACATTGCGAACAATTCCAAGCGATTCAGTGAGGATGGTAGCAATACCTCTAAGATCGTGTTTTTCACTTGTGTCAATATGTAATTTTAATCGTTCAGCTATATTCTCAGACATAATTGGAAAATTTGCACCAGGATCTACTGTCGCCGCCGGAATTACCAATCGTTTAATTTTGCATTTTGTAGTTACGACATCCGTAGCTGGATCTTTTTTTTGAACGAAATCTATCTCCATAGGATCGTCTAGCATTTCATCCTCTCCATCCGAATCGGGTATTTCTGGAGCTGGCTCTCGATAATTTGTAAACCCAGGTTTTGTAACAGACAAATTTGTGTTATTAATATTATTTCTAATCATTTCTATAACCTCTGGATCATTAAACATAGCTAGAATAATTTTTTGAATTTGTGAGTCAATAATCGTACCTGATTTCTTTTGTGAAGTATATTGAATCGGAGATTTGAGACTCTGTCTCTTCTTTGAAGTAGACTTCTTTTTAGAGGATGATTTATCCAATTTACTCTTCCGCTTTACTTGTTTTTTTTTGTATTAGAAATATGTATATCATAACTATGATCGGATTCAATCTCAGATGAGGAATCCCCAGAATCGGAGTTATTATCTGAAGAATCATTATCGGAAGAGTTTGTATCTGAACCCGAATCTACAGCAACCTTATTAATACTGCCTCTCTTTTTGGATCTGCTCTTGGACCTTTTCTTACGAGTACACTTGCGAGAATTATGTCCAGTTCTATTACAATTTGAACAATGATGTTGAGATGATTTCTTAACGGCATTAACCTCTTTTGCCATTTTTGCTAAATTTAATGATAATTTTGACATACCTTTAGTAATTTCATCTATATCATCAGTACTAGTATCTTTATTCTTCGACTGCACTGGTTTCACTGAAAACATATTAGACAATTTTTTATAAAGATCATTGGCTAGAGATTCCATAATTTGACTAGTCGAAGGAGTTGGATTTATGAGATTAGCATGAATAAACCTTTCAGAATTTACGCCATACCCATCTGGAGGTCTTTCTGGCATATATTTATCTAGTACTCTAGGATAATCATCAGAATCAATTCGCTTTTGTTAAAATTGTGGATCTTGTGTTTTCTGAGATTGTGTAGACTGTGTAGGCTGAAGAGAAGTGGTTGGTACTAAAGCTAATTGTGATTTTATCATATTATCTATTTCAGCTCGAGTTATATCACTACTATTAGAATGCGATTTATTTTGTATATTAACGACTGGGGTTTGAAGAATTTGATTGGTGATTAAGTCTCTATAGCCAAGTGATGGTTGACGCTTCAGCCATAATTCTTTAAGTGAAGTAAAGAAAGCTGTGATATCAGCAGGATTTGCTCCTTCCATTCGAATAAAAAGCTCAGCAGATAAATGAGCCATGAAAAATCCCAAAGCATTAGCATTGTCATCAGGCACACCTAATAGATATTGACGAATTCTAGCTTCATATATTTCTGGATTATCATCAGTCTTAAATGTTTCTTGAGATAGTCTTTGAATAGCAGACTGGCGAGTACCAACTGTTCTTTGTAAATAGGTATCTCCGAGCCATACTCTGAATCAGGCTGGAGTATCAATATTATTTCCTGCATGCTGAGCTGGAACCAGTAAATACTTTCCTGCCATTTTTGATTTATAAATATCTGCTTTATGGGCGTCTATAAAAGTATTATTATTTGCTTGATTGGCATCAGCTATCATTGTATCAGTATAGCTGATCGCTCTTTCAATCCTATTACAATAATCATTTGGTGGTTCCTACCCAATATATGATGAAATATGGGCAAGACTTGTTTGAATAGTTTGATAAATATGTTGTCTATCGGCGGCCGCCATGTTCGGATTTATAGGTTGATTATTCTGTAGTAATAAAATTTGGGCTTGTAAATTTAAAATTAATTGCTGTGAATTACGCTCCCTATTTTTCCACTTGATATGATTTGCCTTTCGATCTTTGAATTTATTGTAATATCTATCAAAGAGCCGATCTCGATTATATTCTAATAATCCATTATCAGCCTGGCATTGTTGTAACTGCCTTTGCAATTGCTGGTTTGATCGC